AAGTGAATTGAAATCAGCAAGATGTGATAAATTGGATGAATTTGGAAGAAAAATGTTGGAGGCAGAAAACGTAATGTGTTTCAGTGAAAACCATAAAATCACCTTTAGAGTCTTCATTTCAGACATAAGTGGATTTGGAGCTAGACAAAGTATATAATGAAGGTAAAATAACCGAAGATTGCATAAATCTGATCACAGGCACTTTGATACAATGACCCTCAAATAATTAAACTTTTGACCTTTTTTTTCTGAATAGGGAGTAGCAGTTTTGTTCTCAGAAATATATTTTATGTAGCAGGCACTTTCTGGAAAGCATTTGAATTTACTTCTTCATAACTGTATCTGAAATATAAGGAGTACTCTGAAATAGCTACAGAAGTTTGGCCCATTCTCCAGCTGTACTTACTATAAAGAGTTAAAAATCACTAACAGAACACACACTTATAAGGTACCAATGTCAGTCTTGTACGCCACATCTTTTCAGTATAATCTAAGAAATTTGTATTTTAATTTCTAATACTAAAAATGCCTCTTACAGCAGCAGATGAAATAGGTATTCATGCATTATTTTTAAATCTCTGACCTACAGTGTTATATCATTTTTGTAGAGAAAAATACAAAAACTTGGATAAGCAATATAAAATAAAACTAGGAGAAATCATAGCTTTAACTTAAAGAGGATAAAAGCATCTATTATTACAAACTAGCTAATTAATAAAACAGGAATTTTTGATAATTATAACAAAATCAATCAGCAGCTAAGATGTCACAAGTCAATTAACATTTATTTGGTAATATAAATGAGAATATAATATCCATCCTTAGTCACAAGTTACGAGCAGGTGCATGAAGACCTTAAACTTCATTAACTTCCAAAATTTCCACTCAAAGTTGTATTGTCATCCTTACAATCATATGCAAGCTCCATGACAGTAGGATTTTATATGCCCTAGTTGAATTTTGAATGCCTAGGGCTGATAAAAATATTTATGTAGTATCACTAATCATTAAAGAAAATGCAAATCAAAACCACAATGAAATGCCATCTCACACCAGTCAGAATGGTTATTATTAAAAAGTTTAAAAACAACAGACACTGGCAAGGCTGTGGAGAAAAGGAAAGATTTATACACTGTGGATGGAAATGTAAATTAGTTCAGCCATTGTGGAAAGCAGTTTGGTGATTTCTGAAATAACTTAAAACAGAATTACTATTTGGCCTAGCAATCCCATTATAAGGTGTATACCCAAAGGAATATAAATTGTTCTATCACAACTATACAAATAGTATACTTATATAGTTTTGTTAGATAAGTAAATTGCTTGTATGTATATGTAACTATCTATCATCTATCTGTCTAGTTATGTATAGTTACATAATTTTTTAGAGACAGAGTCCTGTGTCATTCAGGCTAAAGTACTATAGCATGATCATAGCTCACTGTAACCTTGAACTCTTGGGCTTAAGTGTTCCTTCTACTTTGTCCTCCCAAAGCTCTGAGATTACAGGTACAAGCCACCACTCCCTACCAGGATTGCTTCTGTTAAATAAACACAGAGTCTGTGAGATGCGTTCCCTGGAAAATGTCAATAAACGACACAACCCTCTGGAAAATAAAATGAAAATATTTCCTAATGTAACCACTTGCCTCTGTTGGAAGTAAACTCATAATCATCAGTAGAGACTTTATTTTTCTGGGTCAGAAGTCCAGGTTCTCCAAGGAAAAAGAGGACCAGAAAACCACCCTTGATGTCCCTGATGTCTCCCTGTTTTATTTGAGTCTTTTGATTGTATCCTTGATGTTATTAGTACAGTTTCATACTGGGATAAGATCTTTGATTTGTGTCATTCTAATTTGACAATCCAATCATGTTAAACCGATTTATGAAGAAGAAAAAGGCACATATGTTTTGTATAACAATAAAATCTATCATTTAGACTGGAGTGTGTTTAAGACTGAAAGGCACTATTATACATCAGGACAACAGACATTAACTGAGACTCTCTGGGGCCAAACTGAGACATGTAAGGATAGCACAAATAGCATGAGTCCTATTCATTATTGTATTTATCGAATAAATATTTAAAAATTTTGCCAACTTTGAAAGTCTAGGTGAGAAAATGGAATAATATGTTCCCATATAGGAGTTGTAATACTTAGCAATATATTAATTGTTCAGGCTGACCTTATATTAACAATATAAGAATTAGAAAATATATAGAATGTTATTTCTAATTAAAAATTAACAAATATTACTCTTACAGGTAGTTTGATTATCAGCATTATGTTTAGCCACACAAATATTAGTGTTTAAGAATGATACCTTAAAGATGGAATTATGGTAACAGGTGATATGAATAGCACTCAAACTAATTTATGCTCTGTCAGGTTAAGCATTATATATCTCAAGTAAGTCTTAGATAATGTCTAATGTTGAGGAATAACTCAAGGAATGAAGATACAAAAATGTGCAAGATATGTAATTGATAATATCAGACCCATTACTTACTGAGATGAGCTTTTCTTGGATATTTTAGAGGCAAAATATTAGCTAGTTATGTGATTCTGGTTCTTATCAACTAATTTAAGAACCATGGATGGGCTTTGGTGATTCCATGAACCTCTTAAAATTTAAACAAAATGCTTTTGTGCTCATATATGTGTTTTTTTTTAATGGAGAGAGATTAATTTTTTATCATGTTCTTAAATGTGTGGGCTTGTGAATGAAGAAGAAAAAATAATCAGTGCTCAGGAGAAACAGTAATGAATTTTTGTTGTGTTCTTAAATATGCAGGCTTGTGAACAAAGAAGAAAAAATAATAGTGCTCAGGAGTAATAGTATCTTGGAAATAGATCTGCTGAGAGATGATCCATATTGTGGGGCAATTTATGCTCACATTTATGTTCTGATTATGAAGAGATCTCTAGACTAGTTGGAAGTAGGTACCTATTAGCAGTCTGTACCATTTAAAAAAATATTAATCCATAGCCATTCATCCAAATTCCCTTTATCTTAATAGGCAGGAGTAATATCTAGAATTTATGATATACAGAATTAACTTTAGGTATGAAGTTTTGATTATTCAAATATTTTGACCCTAATGTTCTCTTATAATTTATATATCTATAATAAATTTTCAAAGTATAAATATAACAAAATATTGATTGGCTGGGCATGGTGGCTCACTCCTGTATTCCTAGCACTTTGGGAGGCTGAGGTGGGTGGATCACCTGAGGTCCGGAGTTCAAGACCAGCCTGGCCATCATGGTGAAACCCATCTTTATAAAATATATATATATATCAATAAAAATATCTTTGGTTCATAATTTAGAATTTTTGCCTATCAGAAGTTGATTTCTTTCCTTCAGTGCATTTAGATTATTGTGAGCGTAAAACTTATAAAGTTTAAAATACCTCAGAAGAGTAAAATATTGTCAATGTGTTAATTCTTTACTTCCATTCACTCTTAACCTTCTCCAACATGATTCCTGTCTCTGCTACTTTGTTGAATTTGCTTTTGTCAAGGCCACTATTGACTTCTATGCTTCAGATTCAATAAATACTATTTAGTTTTCATATTCTAAGACCTTTGGCCAGGCGAGGTGGCTCACACTTATAATCCCAGCACTTTGGGAGGCCAAGGCAGGTGATTCCTTGAACTCAGGAGTTCAAGACCAGCCTGGGCAACACGGTTAAACTCTGTCTCTACAAAAAATGCAAAACCAGCTGGGTGTGGTGGCACATGCCTGTGGTTCCAGCTACTTAGGAGGCTGAGGTGGAGGATAGCTTAAGCCTGGGATATCGAGGTTTCACTGAGCCATAATCACTCCACTGCACTCAAGCTTAGGTGACAGAGTGAGCCACTGCCTAAAAACAAATAAACAAAGAAACAAAACAAAAAGACCACACACACAAAGACTTTTCAGCTGGTCTTCAATACAGTTGAACAATCCATTCTTTAAAAAAAAAATTTAAAAAGTTTTATTAAATTAGTACATGTGTATAATAGAGAACTGATGAAATAAAGTCTCCGGCAATGAGGCTCAGACAGAATTTGACCAGTTTATATGCAAAGAAGAGAAAATCAAAAACGATAAATACACCATAATGGGATTTAAAAAAAAAAAAAGGATTTGAATATTTCAGAATTAGGAGAAGCCCTTGAGAAAAATAAAAGCTTCAAATGATTTTACAAAAGTAATTTTATGATTCTTCTCTGAAAGATAATGTTTAATCATGACAAATTTTATCAGAATAAATTTTGTAAAAAGAAAACAAGATCACATTTAAAACTAAAATTTGATCAGCAGTAATATGACAATATGCATTTTATTCAACAAAAATGATTATGTCCAAAGTCCGAAAGAAATTTAATAACTTAAAATTTAACTAATTTGTAATAATTATTCTGATACTTGACAGTATTTCCTCAAGGAGGACATACTGTATGACATAGCCATACAGTAACAGAGCTACCAGTTCAATGATACTTGTTAAAAAAAATTTCTCCTAATTCCCATCTTCTACCCAAAATGAGGTTCTTGATATCCATGAATAACCTTCTGAATATGTATATTTACAAAATATTGAATAAGATGATTTTTAACATTGCTGTAATTTTTTGATGGGAATAGAAAATATATAAAGTGCACAAATCACAAGTGTATAGCTGGATGAATTCTTCCAAAGTGTTTAACGAGCATATAGGCCAATAAATAATATTATCAAAATCCCAGATGCCTGTCTGTAATTTCTTCCAGTCACTACTTGCCTATGAAGATTATTACATTTTTTAGTTTTTTTACATGGATTACATGTACTCTTTTGTGTCTGGCTTTATCTGCTCCAAGAAATGGATATTCTATCTAGAATTCTCAACATATATTTCACGGACTTTTGGATTTATAGTTGCAAATTAACATGCCCAATTTCTAATTACATTATTTACTCTTCATCAAAATAGTTATTAAATACAATTAGAAATTCATATAACTAACCTTTCTGAATGAGATGTCTTGATGTTCTTGATTTCATGTCAATATCTTTCGGGTTTAATTCACATAAAATAGATGAAACATGTTTTCTGCGTTCATTGAAATTTTTTAAATCAAAAGGATAATAGATATTCTGTGAAAATAAAAGCAATAACAATAATAATGTCTCATGTGCTTCAGTGTTCACCAAGTGCTCTCACATGAATTATACATTATCATAAATGATTTTCATTTAAAAACACAAAAACAAAAACCTGTGAGGTAGTCAGGGTTAAGAAAAAAATAAAAATTAAAAAAACCTCCATTGTGTATAATTTTGACAATCTGTCTCTCTATTAAGTTAATATTATGCCTTTGCCAATGCTGTAAGAGAGACTGAGGGAAAGAGAGACCTACCAGGAGAATGCCGTGACAAAAGGAAGAACGGAAGAGGGAAAATAAGGAATAAACTAAGAGAAGCAAGATAGTGTTGCCCAGAAATTCTGAAGGAAGATTTAGAGTAATAAAGGGAGGGACAAAATTATTTCACAGAGCACTAAAAGGCAATAACATGGGGGAGGAAAAGGAGGGACAATTACATTGGAAGAAAGGAAGGGAGAAATGTGACAAGAATTATCACAAGTTTTAAAGTACAAATGTGCTGAGTGCGGTGGCTCACACCTATAATCCCAGTATTTGGGAAGGCCAAGGCGGGTGGATCACCTGACACCTGACGTCAGGAGTTTGATATCAGCCTGGTCAACATGGTGAAACCCCATCTCTACTAAAAATACAAAAAGTAGCCAGGTGTGGTGGCACTCGCCTATGATTCCAGCTACTCGGGAGGTCAAGGCAGAAGAATCACTTGAACCCGGGAGGCAGAGGTTGCAGTAAGCCAAGATCACACCATTGCACTCCAGCCTGGGCAGCAGAGTGAGATTCTGTCTCAAAAAAAAAAAAAAAAAAAAAAAAAAAAAAATATATATATATATATATGGATCAGATATGTGTAGGAAGAGTGGCAAGTAGAATATTGAGGAGGAGCTTCATGGGGAACAGGAGCATTGTCAAATGTAAACTGCGTATCTGTGAATTGCTTGGGATGTTTCAGTAATAGTGTTGTTTTCCTCTTCACCGTTCATCCAAGACTATTAGGGAGCTTTCACCAGGTTATCAGGGACATAGGCTCTTTCAAAGTTCCTTTACCAACTCTTACTGTATCTTCATGAGTACTATCCTCAAACTTTTCTCATGAGTCAAAATAGCTACTAGAGCTCCAAACACCATTTCAGTCAGAAGATGGAGGAAAGGGGAAATGACAAAAAGACAGAAGCCATGTGTCTTAAGGAGCTTTCCAGAAGTTCTTCAAATAACTTCTGTTTAACATCTCATTGGCCCTACATCCAGCTACAAAGGGGAGGGTAAGGAATGAAACCTTTTTGTTAGGTATTTTGCTTCCTGGAATGAAATTTGGCCCAGTTGCCATGAAAGAAAAAAAAAAGTAGATATTGGTAGGCAACCAACAGTCTCCATCCCAGAGGAAAAGTTCAGAAGCTTATATTAGGGTATGTGTTTTATATATTAAAAAACTTTCCCAGGATATGAAACTTTCTTTGGTAAGAAACACTGACCTAACATTTGAAGACTCACAAATGTTTATGTCACATAGATCTTCTTTCTGAGATCTTTGCTTGTGTGTATTTGTTTATGAAACATTTACATAGTGCATATCATTTGCCATTGTTAAGTTCTTTATGGATATTAACTCATTTAATAATCATAACAACCAAAAGCTGTGCTCTTTCACAAGGATATCTCGTACTCAAGAGAATCAAAGTCATATTTTTTTCTTCCAAATATATTAGTTCTCATTCCTAGTTTGAGTGAATGGCATCACATTTATTTAAGGAGAAGAAAGTCAGGTAAATTGTCTAATATGTCACAGCTGACAGAATTTTGAAATAGAGAATTCATCCTCACATTTTCTACACTACTTTGACCTGCTCTCTTGCTCAAACTTCCTTTATTTTACAATTTAGAAAAGATACTTGGATATGTGCCTCAGTCCCCTGTATTTACAATTTCCTGAGTTTCTATCATTTAAATTTTATATGTGATATTTTCCTATTTATATATCAAAAACAATTTGTCTCTATGCAGTGACTCATAGGGCAAGGACTTTTTAATGCTCATTATAGGTGCTAAGTATCACCTCTTCCTGGAATAATCTGTTTTTATTTTTCATTTACAAATTCTTCACTCATCAACTCTTACACAATTTCTTTTCACTCCTTACAAGATGAAATCACCTCATTTTGCTAGAAATACAAATAAGTACTTTTAAGCTCATATATTCTCTTTACATTTAGAAAACTTTCAATCCTGCCAAGGATAATTAAAATTTAAGAAGTCACAATACAAAAACATATTGTCAAAATATGACAATATTTTAAGTAATGCTGCTTCTATTTTCATTTAGTCCCTGGTTTCTCTATTAAATAAGTATGACAAAATATAATGTGTGGCACTGTTTTGCAATCAAATCTGTAACAACTCTAAATACTTTTTCAAACTCAAGTTCTTCTGCAAGTCCTCTTCAAGTTACACCGTCATTCTTGTATCTTCCTACTTCTAAGAATTTGGTTCTATTTGGTAACTTCTGTTTCTCCCTCCTAACAATGCAATTCATCACATGTTAAAAGTCACCTCAAATTGCGTTTAAACCATAGAAATGTGTCATTTCTTTCTTCTATATACCTCACTTTTATCCTATCCATGATAAAATAATGAGTATGTTCAGTGATCCTGTTTCCACTAGTACTTACACATTTAGTTCCCCTGAAAAAAGCAAGAACTCCTCCAAAAAATCTGTCAAATTTGAGATATCCAAACTCTATTACAAATACAGTTAATTTATAGACTCATGAAATGCAAAGAGTCAGAAACTAAGCAGATAGCTAGTTAGCTCCTTTAAGAAATACCTTTTTTTGCTTCTCCTAATTATCCGTTTCATGAATCTGGCTGTCATTGTTTGCCATGTTTTATAAAAACATTTCCTTCCATGATTTTAGAAAAGAAGAGTTCACAAGGAAGGGTACATATATGACAGGGGAACAAATCTACAGAAAAATGATCAAAAAGTTTAAAGCTCTAAAGGAACTGAGGCTTACACAAGCTGCCAAAGTAAAGAAATGGTCTTTTCTGTTATATGTAATGCAAGAAGTAAAAGAGAATGTGTGCACTTACTGATTGATCTTTGAGATCACAGAGAAGGAAAAGTTATCAGAAAACTGGGAATGATCTAATGAAGATCTTATTTTCAATAACAGAAAGTATATTCTATTAAGTACACTAATTTAGAGCTAACACTGGTCCTCAATAATTGCAGAAAACATTTTAAGGATGTTTGGTAGCATTTAGAAAAGGAAGAATAATCAAGAAACATTCTAAATTGATAATAAACTAATTATATCAGATATAATTTCATTTGTAACAGGGTCAAAATTAATTCCGGTTCAAATATCCTTGGCATGATAAACCTGCATTCACCAGTATGTTTGATAAAATCTTTCATTACTTTTAGTTAAAGATCAGAAATGCCGAGTGACCATGAAAAACTTGAGGAGTAATAAAATGACGCCAGGCTGAAGGGAGATCACTAATGGCATGATACATAGCTCTGTTTTCAGCTCCATTCTGGTCAATGTTTATATAAATGAGAAATAAAATTTAAAAGAAATGCTTGCTACATTTTCCAATGAGATAGCAAAAAAAAAAAAAAATCAATTAATACCTAACAGAAATCTAAGCTAGTGTCAACAGCCCAGAGTAACTTAAGCAGATGAAGTACAATTGAAATTAAATATTGCAGTTGGGTAAAATATACTTAATCACTGGGATACATGATGGTGATTTAAAAACATGAGTGATAAGACATTTTATTATATTTATGAAATGCATTTTAGTTAAAAAGTAAATTAGTTAGGAATTCATTATATGATGTGACCCTAAGCTGTGTTAAGCATTTCGTTGAGAATGAGGGAAGCAATAGTTTTACCTTATTCACTTCAGCTCAGGGAAACATGTATTCAGATGATTTTAGATAACCTGGAACATGAATAGTAAGCAGCCTACCTACTCAATTATTGTGAAAGTAAGCCCTATGTAAATAGGCTGTGTTTAAGTTCAGCATAGAGAAAAGATAAAGGGAGATTCAGGGTCCCTATCTCCTCCACTATCCATCTTCTTCATTTTAAAAAATAATACAGAAAAAGAATATTTTTTGTTCAAATCATAAAAACTTAGAATTTGTTCCTTTTTTTTTTAGATTCTTAATATCTACTTTATTATTTCTCCAGGTATTTGTTTCTTAACCCTTCTTCTGAAACCTTAGGTCTAAGCTATCAGCAAATCTTGGAAAGGGCACTTCCAAAATATATTTTAAATATGCTCACTTCTCTAAATTTCCAGCTATTTCTCTATTCTATAGCTATAATCATCTATTTGTGGTCAATCACAAATATCTCTTATTGTACTCTAACTTCACCCTAGCTTTTATAAGAAACATTTATAGTTTTCAAAATATAAATCCCAGTCATGTTTCTCTTTTAGCTTTAAACCTTCTGACTGTTAAGATGCTAAATCCTTAATATGAGGTATAGGACATCATCAAAATATGGCTCCTGACCACATAGCCAAACTCACCTCATGCTACTGTTGACTTGGTTCATTATACCCCTGCTATACTAGATTTCATTCAGTCCTTTGAACAAACCCCAATCAAATAAGCTACTGCATGTCCCAGGTTCTTGTGTAAGATCTTTCTTCTGCCTGTAACACTCTCCTTCCCATAATGTGTATGGCTAGTTCCTTTTCCTTCAGGCCTTAACTTTAAATATTACCTCCTCAGAAAAACTGTCTGTAACAGTCTTATGAGAAACAGTCTTCCTCCTATTATTCTTTATCTCACCACCCTACTTGTTTTATTTACAACATTTATCACAATTTTGTTTGCTAACCTGGGTTAATACTTGTTTTTTCCTAGAATCTAATCCACAAGGGCAAGGACTTTGCTTGTCTTGTTTACTCAATACTAAGAATATTCTCTGAAACTCAATGTATACTCAATAATTATTTGTTAAATGCTGAATGAAT